CTCAGCCAGTGAGCGGGAACCGGTCTGTATGTGGGATCCGAACCCTCGGCGTGAGCGCCACCGCGCTCCCAGGCGGCGCACTATAGCAGTGCGCCACCGGGCCGGCCCTGGGCTTTCATATTTCTCCATATCAATATTTTGTTATGTAGACATGGTAGAATTTATTTATTTTTTTCACTTATTTATTTTTTATTGTAACATAGTTGATTGTACATATTTGTGAGGTACAGAGTATCAATACATGATACTCAAATCAGGATAATTAGTATATTCAACATTATACAGTGTAATTGTTTTTCTTGTCCCTTTGCCAGTTTCTCCCTTATGCCCCCTCACCCTCAGCCTTTCCCACCTCTGGTTACCTCAGTCCTCTTCTCTCCTTTTGAAAGTTAAATGTATTGTTGTGATTGTTGTATCTTTCTTTTTTAAAAATTTATTTGTTTATTTTTAGCTCCAATTAAGAGTGCGGACATGTGGTATTTCTCTTTCTGTGCCTGGCTTGTTTCACTTAACGTGATTTTCTCTGAGTTCAGCCATGTTGCTGTGAATGACAGTATTTCATTCTTTTTTATGGCAGAGTAGTATTCCATTGAATAACACACTATGTTAAATATTGTTATATAATAAGTCTTGATGTCTTTAAGAAAGTTTTGGCTATTGTTGACTTTTTATACTTCCAAATACATTTTAGAATCAGTTCAAGTTTCACCAAAAAGCTTTTTGTTTTGTGATTCTGACAGGCATTGCATTGAATCTCTCAATTCTTTGGAAGATAATTGACAGTCTTTATAGTACTGTATTGAGAGTTCCAGTCTATGACTATATGGTATAACCCTTTTTTAATATCTTTCTATAAATTTTTATAATTTTCTCTGTAGAGATTTTCTTATCTTTAGTTAGATTTACTGTCACAACTTTATATTTTTAATGCTATTGTTAATGGTATTTTAAAATTTCATTTCCAACATGGGTATAATGTTTATTATAAGGATTTTTATGGAAGTTTCCTTCTATTTCTAGTATACTGAGGGTTTTCTCATGAATGGATTTTGAATTTTATCACCTTTGTTTTTTTCTGTTTTTGTGGTAAATGTTATTGAGGTTAAGCCAACCTTGAATTTGCTGATAAATGCAACTTGATCTGATATATTACTCTTTTTTTATATTGTTGGATTTTGTTTTTATTTATGACATTTGTGTCAATATTCATAGTTATGATTGATCTGTAATTTTCCTTTCTTATATTGTCCTTTTGAGTTTAGGTATCAAAGTGTTGCTAGCCTCATACAATGAGCTGGAAAAGTTTCCTTTTTTCTGTTCTAAGAGGTCAGTTAATGTTGGAATTATTTTTTCCTTAAATGGTTGCTGTGAGGCTTTCTGGGCCTGTGATTTTCCATATGGAAAGATTTTTGACTACACATTCAATTTTTTT